GGCGGTGGAAGCGCTGGGGCGGGTGGCGCGGCTGGCCTCGCTCTGCCGGACCCTGCGGCGGCGGGAGGCCGAGGGGGACGAGGCGGGCTGGGCCCCGGCGCGGGAGGAGGCGGAGGAGGCGCGGCGGGAGCTGCGGGAGGTCGTGCGGCCCCTGAGGGAGCCCGGCTACCGGGAGGCCCTGCGGAGGAAGGCCGAGAGGGCGAGGAAGAGGAGGCTGCGCCTGCAGCGGAGGAAGCAAGAAGCCAAGGCAGCCAGGGAGGAGGAGGCGGCCCGGGCCGCCGAGCGGGAGGCCAAGATCGACCAGTGGAGAGCCAAGTGCATCCAGGAGGTGGAGGAGAAGAACCGGGTACGGCGCCGAGCGGCCTGGTCCTGCCTGCCCCGGCTGCAGTGTGGCTTCCCGGGGACGCCCTCTGGGGCGCCGGGCGGCAGCGTGGCGGAGCCGGGGGAGACCTGCCGGTAACGGGGCTCCCCTGCCCGGCACCTGGCTGCGGCCCCCCGCGGTTCAGTAGGTGCCACCTGGGTGCTGCACGGGTTCGGCTTGCTTGGAGACACGCTGCTTGCGAGGCCTGCAGCCCTGCTTCTTCCTTAAAAGCCTTGGCGGGCATCTCAGCTTTGCCACGCTCGTGTCCTAGGCCTTAGCAGTTGGGACAGAAAGGTTTCTCAACTCTCGGTTGTGCGTGGAGGTCTTCCTCGGTGGCCCCAGCCTGCGCCAAGCTGTTCACAGCAGCCCTACGGTGGTCAGCGCCGTTTCGGTAACCGTAAGCCTTGCCTGCTGGCTTCGTACTTGTAAAGCTTGTTGTTTGCAAGCTTTTGGGTCTCCCTGGGAAGTAAAACGGCTCCAAGGCAAAAAAAAAACCAACCTCAAACTGGGCTTGCTGGGAAGTGCTGTGAGCATCTTTGTGCTGACTGTTGGCTAAAGAGCAACCCTTCGGCTGGTGCTAGGTCTGCCGCTGGGATGGTACAGAGCAGCTGTTGGGAAAGGTTTTGTGTTTGGACTGTGGCACGTTAATCGTCTTCAATTGCTGAGCTGTAGAGTCGGGCTGGTTTATGTTCATTGTTAATGTTTTTCCTAACTTCCTGTGGTTAAAGGTTATCAGGCTTTATGAATTCATTACCCATTTGGCCCAAATTTGTGAGTTGCTCAGCATTCTTTTTTTTGTTTCCTGAAGTCTATCATGTTTTAGCTTTTTCACAGAAAGGCAAGGTTGGATGGTTGACTTAACTTGCAACGGCTCTGTTACTAGGAAGTTATTCTGATTTCCAGTGCTTCGTTAATCTTTTTGAAAGTACCATTTCATTCTTGTCTACGTGGGATATTTCACACATAGTGTCTTGTTTTTTTCTTTCTTTCATAGGAACAAGAACTTAAGGCTGCTGCAGACAGCGTCTTATCTGAAGTACGGAAGAAACAAGCGGACACAAAGAGGATGGTGGACATCCTGCGCGCATTAGAAAAGCTTCGCAAACTGAGAAAAGAGGCCGCTGGCAGGAAAGGTTAATTACGAGATTTTTACCAAACTTTTAAAATTGTGCACACAGGAAATAAGATGATGTGCATGCCCTGTGCCGACTAGCAAGGTGCAGCTTGAAAAAGCTGTTTCTTTATTAGTGATTTTAGTTATAAAATGCTGAATACAGTGGTAGTGTTCCTACGTTTCCAAGCTCTTTCTTGATAGAATTATTCCAGTAAGATAGCTGTTAGCAAGGTTAAGCTCATGTTCCTCTTGAGATTTTGCCAGCTCTGCTCTCAAGTCTGATAACACAGCCCCTTCTGAATCTGAAAATTTAAAGTTAATTCTCTTTCTTTTTAGGTGTTTGTCCACCCCCCTCAGCAGACGAAGCATTTGAAAATCAGGTGGAGAGTCTCAAAACGTTGCTGAAAAATCGCACAGAGCTGTATGAAGCTGAGGAGAGAGCCTTAAGAGTTATGTTGGAGGGAGAACAGGAGGAGGAAAGGAAGAGAGAAATGGAAAAGAAACAGAAGAAGGAAAGGGAAAAACTACTACAGCAGAAACTCGAAATTGATTCCAAGCTGTTTGGAGATCCAGGTAAATTCTGCATGCCATACTTAACAGTTATTTTTCCACCCCCACCCCCATCTCATAGGCACTGGGTTTAAAATGCAGGCACAAAAATAGTTGAGAAAGAAATCATCCACTGGAGTAATTTGTGGTCTGAGGAAAAGATGGCATAAACGTAGTGTGCTGTTAACACATGTGATGTTAGAAGAACTGTTTAGCTCTTCAGTGTAGACTGCAGTATATCTCAAGCCAATTTCATAATGTTTTGCAAGAAGAGGTTGTAGATTAAGCTGAAGTGAGAATAAACAGAATAGATTGAAGACTTCCAGCACCCAACAGATGCTTTAGTCTGGTGATTTGGTAAGTGCCACTCGGGTAATCTGTAAAGATTCAGTGTCCATATGTTCCCTTTGTTTAGATGATGGAGGCAGGAAAAATTTTGCTGGCCTTGACTTGCCTCTGACAGCTCTGGTAAGGATGAGGAGACGTGCAAAACATGTCCTTAATGTATTACCTAGGGAACTGATTTCAAGTTACAGCTGGGGAGTAGCAAATGAGTTGGCAAATTTGGGGTTTCTAAGACTTTCTAAAACCAAAGGTCTCTCTGGTTTATTGAACGATTTCTGTATTGGTGTTTTAACAGATGAATTTCCTCTAGCCCACCTATTGCAGCCCTTCAGAGAGTATTACTTACAAGCTGAGCATTCTGTAGCAGCTCTAATCCAGATCAGGTAAAACCAAACAAAGTCTTTATTTTATTATCAAAGATGACAAGTATTGTTTGTCGAGATTGTAAAATTATGGTCCCTTTTGGTTCACTAACTTCCAAATAAGGTTATGCAGTGAATTGTCCTGGTTTTTTTCAGCTAAGGATCAAGCTTGGTAAGAGTTGTATCCAACAGATGCCCGTGTGAGGCAGAGTGCACTTCCGTGCATAACCATTCCATTTAATGGAATAGTATATATAATTTTCACATTTACGTTTTGAAAAACAAGTTTCAGAGTACAATTTAAAGTGGTTTGTGTATTGATCAGTATGGAAAAATACCTCTGTGGGTATATAATAAGTCTTACTACCAAAGTCATACCAGCTCTCCTCTCAAACAATGCTTTCTCTGTTAAAGGCATGAATGGGATCAGTACTTGGTGCCAGCTGATCACCCTGAAGGAAGCTGCATCCCTCCAGGATGGGTTCTTCCGAGTCTCCCCACAAATGACACTTGGGCCACTGCTGTCAGATAATTTAGTAATAAATTATTTTAACATTGGAGGAATGTTTCATTATAATTGCGCATGTAAACATGAGAGGGTCTGAGGAGGAAGTCTCATCCTCTGTTTTGGTAGCCAGGTACTGTAGTGTCTTGAAGAAAAGCGTAAGAACTGTTTTTGCCGTCTGACTCTGCAGGGAAATACCTGAGCAAGCCCAAAGCTGCTAGGGCTCTTGTGGCCTACAGTCCCGCTGCGAGTTTTGTTAACGCATCTCAATCTTAATAAAGAAACATTGCTGACAAGGGTATTTGTGCCAGTATTAACATCCTATTTTTAGTGGCTTTTATCTTTATAAGCCTAAATCCAGATGATGAAATCTCCAGATATCAAGAAGTTTATCAAAAATAAATGAGATAACTAGTAAACATGTTTTTCTTCTTAAATGAAGCATGTCAGGCATTACTGTCAAAATAGTTCCTGTATTTTTGTGTGTAGAAACGAACCTACTGCAAGTTTAAACAAATCTGAAGTACAAACAAGACAGGATTTTTCAAGGTTGATTAAAGCAGCTGTTGACATTTTACTTTTGTGGACTAAAACTGGTACCACAACATGGAAAAAATTCCCAGTTGTGGTGAAATAGGTCAGACAGCCATGTGAATATATATAAATTTGATGAATAAGCCTGCTGGAAAAAAACAATAAAACCTGAAGTCTAACCTACTGTACTTGTTTTTGCCTATATAGCTATTTTTGTATAGGGACGGATCATGTATATAGTATTTGATTAAAAAATGCAGATTTATTTTGTAAGTTGTTTTTTGTACAGAATAAATAGAGAAAAATGGAATTTTTTTGTTGGAAGTGTTTTTACTCCAAGGGAGAGACTTGTAGTACTTGGCATCAAATACGACTGCAGTGTGGAGAGAATTGCTGGCAAAAGGTTTGTGTGAAGGAACTTCTCCCTCCTACAAGGTGACAGAGGCATCTGATTTCAAAGCCTTCCATGTTCTGGACAGTTTGGCTGAAACAGCGACAGGCTGTATGGGTTCGGGCGTTTGCTGGTCTACGCAGATTGTCGTGGCGCCTTCCCAGAGCTGCAGTTGTTACTCTTAGCCCTAATGTGTGGGAATGGATTTAATCTCTCCAATTCCTTGCCTCCTTGCATCACAACATTGTGTAATTCATGGAGGAGGCAACGTAATTGCCTAAATTCAACACTTGGGCCTTTATATATAATGTTAATAGTTCTTGGGCTGAAGCTTTGCATTGATTTCTGTTAGTAAGAGCACATGAACTAGTAATTTTTCACAGAGTTAGAATTAATCTGTGTGCGGAAGTTTGCAGTTCTTGCTGACATGTCCATTGCCTGCCTGTAGCCCCCCAAAATACAGATTACCATGAAGTCCTCTTAGGCAGGGGTTCTGATTTGCATGTCCGTACATCCTCCCATCCCTACTGTCACTTCTAGCATCTTGTTACTCCAAGAGCTATGGCTGGGTCAGATCCTGGGGAGTCTTACCTGATGAAAAAGCCGAAGTTGAAATAGCATAAAAACAATTGCAGAAACAACATTTTCAGTTTGGGAAGCTTAGTGACCAGAGAATGCTCTGCTTAAATAGTTAGGCTCCTTATCCCATCAGCACGTCTGATGGGACAGGCTAACCGCTTAAGCTACGATAATCCTAAAACTGTCAAAGTCAGATGCTTGTCTGACACTGCAAAAATTTAAAGAACCGAGCAGTAGGTAAGCAGGAAGCGTAGAAGCACCGCTGTTCTCCTTGCCCTGCAAGAAGAGCTCCATGATTTCATCGGACGGTAAGGATAACTTCATATTGTTAATAAAAATAGAACTTGAAAATGCCAGCGGATGATGCACATTTAGGTGTCTTTCAATCCCTCAAGCTTTCTGTGGTTTGTTCTACATAATTTGCTCTTGTCTAATGACATCTGCATTAAAATGTTTTATGTTTTTAGTGAGGGAGATGTTGAAGCCACAGATGGAAGAGGACTGTTTAGAATCTTGTAGAATACATGGAGACAGGGTATTAATTCTTAAAAAAACCTTGTGTATTCATATTTAAGATGCAAATTTGTCAGAGTGTAGTATTTCCTACTATTTTTATGTTTTAAAAGATTACTATAGCCCAGAAGAAAAGAAGGGTCAGCTATGAGTTTCTGAGACTCGTTTGCATCTTATTCCTTCCCTGGTCCCAGTACAGTTCAGGTTTCTCGTGGATCTAAGGCACATCCTCCTCTGGGTACAAATTTGTTCGTTTGCCAGCCTGTATCTTTGATGTGAAAGCAGGCAGGGCTGGCGTGAAGCCGATGAGCTCAGAACCCTTGTAGGAGTTGCTTTCTGGTGCAAATTGGTGTTTATGACTGACCCTCTTTAAGTCTTGTCTAGTAGCATTTTTCATTGTCATCGCTGCTCACCCCAATGTCCTTCTTTTCTGAATAGTGTGTTGGGGAGTTAACACTTGTGGGAGCCTTTCTTAGAGCACGGTATTTATGCAGTGAAATACAGTGAGATGCAGTACCATAATCTCTCCGTATTTTCTTCATTGTGGTTTCAGATGCATTCACTGCCCGTCTCCATCGCTTTAAGTGGCATTTAAAACCAAGTGAAGCCATTCTAGGTGACAGGCGATGAGATACTCTTTTCCTTTGCACCTTTGTGCTACACAGCTGTCGTAGTTTAACCCTAGCCAGCAACTAAGCACCATGCCGCTGCTCGCTCGACATTATTCCCATACTAAATCCAAACCATAACACTATACCAGCTACTAGGAAGAAAATAAACTCTATCCCATCTGAAACCAAGCCAACAGCTTTTGGGAAGAGTTGATTTACAGTGTAAGCTGCCAGGAGGGTTCGTCCCTCTCGCAGGCAGGGGCTGCACAGCCACGCAGAGGAGTGGGAGAAAGCTGGGGTAAGGTGGCTTCACTTGCAGATCTTTTCGCATGTTGTCTTCGTCACTGCTGATGTGGTTTGTAACTTACATGGAGCCCTCTTAGGCTGGGGAGCAGATGGCCTGGCTCCGTGAAGGCTCCCAACACGTTGTCCGTGTCGCGTGTTAGCAGCCGTACATGTGCGGGAGCTGCAAAGCTGGTTAGGAGCTCTGCCTGCGCTACAGCCCTGGGTATTAAGGCTCCTGGCGTAAGCAGGCGAAGGACAACTTTTGTAATTCTGATAAGAGCAACTGAGCTGAACCGAGTGATTGTGCGTGTCACTCTTCCTTTGTGGTCTAGAGGCAGTTCGTTAGTCCTTTGCTAATGTAATAAATGACCTTGAATGCCATTCCCCATTATAGACCCTTACTTTTGCATTAAACAGGCAGCTTTTTCTTCCTTGTGTACATTCATCTGCTTATTTTCTTTTCGTGGAGTGTTTATCCTCATTGTTATAAAAGCCATTTCTTTTTAAAGGAAAAAACTAAATTGGTAAAAGCACTCAGGGTGTCACACCAAGTATTTACTGTTTGTCTTGAGGGTGACTGCTGAGGACTTTGGGATGAACAGGCACATGCTGCAGGTACCGGAATTCAGTGGAAGACTGAGCATCAACTCTTGCCAGTTGACAGTATATAAAGGAAATTATTTTGCATGCTGTCCTCACTGGGAAGCTGGGGACTTGAGGCTTCATGCAGCAAGTAGTGGCTTTTTACTAAATTGAGACATTTTTACAGAGCTGGTGGCTATGTTATTGCAGTAATATTTTCCATGCCACCATTCCCAGTTCCTCAGAAATTTTAGTCTCCCCTGCTATTCCTGATCTAAAAACATCACCCCACTTAAAATGAATACGTGGTTCTTGAAAGCTAATCTGGCCTTAAAATGGCTCGTTCGACATCCCTCTAATGCCGAAGCTTGCCTGACGCACCAGCCTCCTTGTCTGGCTCTCAGTAAGCTGCTGCGGCACTGGAGGGGATGCCCTCGCCCCAGGTCCCCCGGGCTGCTGCGTGTGACGGCTTAGCAGCACGTGGCTGAATGCCTGAGCTCCATGACCACGGCTGCTCTTGGGTCACACAGAGAGAGGAGACCTGCGAGGTGTCCTCCTTGGCTGCGGTTTCTGCCTCTGTAACTGGAAAAAGTGCTCGGTCTGTCCCCAGCTTGGGAAAGGGAGCATGTGATGGGCAGCGGAGGGAGAAGAAGAGGCGAGAGGAGGGATGGGAAGCAGTGGGTCATGCACGGAGGTGGAAACGGGGGAGAAAAACACTCAGGATCTCTGCCAAATGAAGCTGTAAGCTTGGTCAGGTCCTGCTGGCTAAAGCTCAGAAAAGCAAAGGTTAGTTCAGACCAATCTTCCCAGTATCAGTAATTAAGAGTTTGCAAATCTGGGTATTGCACGCAGTGGTTTTTACTTGGCTGGCAGCATCTCTAAGGGCTGTGTTCCTTTTACCGGTGTCACTTGAAGTAGCTCATCTTTCTCTCCTTCCACCCAACTTAAAAGGTGCTAGTCCTGCCTTTTACAGTTTTGTTTCTTCCCTTCCTCTGGCAGCAAGAAATCAGACAGCGGCGATGAGCTACCTGGATGAAGTTCCCTTCCGGATGGCGAGGAGCCTTGATGGCGACTCGGGAGAAAACACTTTAATCACTGCCCCGGCCATCGAGCTCCCCGACTGTGCCGACATCCTCATGAGCACCATGGTGAGTCACCTCTGCTTGCATCTGCACCCGGATTCGCTTCTGCTGGGATGCTCAAAGGGATGTCAGCAGCATTTGCCTTTTCTTGTGAAAGATGGGAAGGGAAACCTCTCCTCTTAATTGGATGGTTTGCAGGAGGGGGAGGAGGTGAGGACAAATTGTGGTGGGTGGGAGTGAGGAAGGGATAGGCTTGGGGTTGTTTTTTTTTTAATCCCATCCAAGCAGGAGGGTTGGGTTAGGTCTTTCTGGGATAGGAGGACAAACTTCAGGCTCTGCTCTGGAATTGTTTCCTGCTCTGGAATCATCACCATCTCATTTATTAATAATATTTATTAATAAATCTAACAGAGATGTAAGCAGGCAACACTACCTGTGCTGGCAACATATATATATATAATACGTGTGTATATATATATTAAAAATATCCTGTAGTGCTTTGTGATCTTCCACATTGCTCAGTCCTAAACTGCTTTTGAATCTACACCTGTTGCTCTAACAGCTTTGTCACCAATTTTAAACCCCGGCACAGCAATTCGAAGAAGCTGTCTGTGCTCTGGAAGGGGGTAGGAAGTCTTTCCCTGTACAGTTACTCTGAAGGTGTGGAGTTGGCTCTCCAAGCCTATGGGCAGTGCTAGCCCAGCTCCAGTCAAAGATGATTTCAGAAATACTTTGCTTCTTCAGCCTTAAGTAGTCTTACCCGTAGATGGGGTCAGTGCACTTCACGGGAAGAAGGCGATCTGGGTGATCCCAAACAGCCTCTGATCGCTCCTGGTGATGGGTGAACCAGCAGTAAACCCCACATCTGCCTTTTCGCTGGTTCAGCCTTGCTCATCCCTCCCCCCAAAACGACACCTCCCAAATCCACAGGACATGTTTAACATGAAGAGTTGCTGTGTTATTCATTTTAAGCAATTTCTCCAAAGGAAATTTTAATGCACGCATTTTTTTTGTCACCTGTGTAGAGGCAGGTGATGGTCTGCATCCCCATGGACCAGCTGAGGTGGTCCACCACCACGTCCTATCCTGGAAAACCCCGAGCCCCAGGTTTGGCCCTGGTCAGGGACAGGTCGGTGCTCCCCGACGAGGCCGAGCGATTCCGCTGGTGGTCCAGGCTGATCCTTGT